GNATTATTGATGGAAGCGTCCACACCAGTTGTCTTCTAATAGGACTGAATTAGGAAAGCATATTTAGAGAAAATATGTGATGTTGTAAATTTTTCAGATGTCTCCATATAATATAAGTTTGATATGCAGGACAAGATCATTCCTGTCCTTACCAGAACCTGATGCATTTAGGATAATAATAATAATAATAATAATAATAATAATAATAATAATATAGATAAATGATCACATCTTGTGGAATATATGGATTTCATCGTATATGACATTTCAAAATTTTATTTGGACACCCTTTACCCGTGCTCTTTTTATCTATGCCCTGAGTGACATTGAGTGATTTTTTCTTTTTTTTTTACTTCATATTCAGAAATTGATGAATGCAGATCAAACCCATGCAAATATGGCGGTAACTGTACAGATATGATCAATGGGTTCCTGTGTCATTGTCCAGTGGGTTACTCTGGCGTGCAGTGCCAAATAAGACCTACAACTACAACTAGTACAACAACCAGTACGACGACAACAACTCCAGCTCAAACCAGTGATACAACTAGTACAACAGTGACAACAACTGGAACTCTAACAAGTAATACAACTAGTACAGCATCAACAACAACAGCAGCTACTACAAATACAGTCACAACAACGGGAACTACTATGTCTGGTATAAGACAGACCACCTCAGTCGGTACATTACCAACCACCCCAACTGTTACTAGTACAAGACCGACCACCCAAACTGGTACAGGACCGACCACTCCACCTGGTACAGGGCCGACCACTCCACCTAGTACAAAACCAACCACCACACCTGGTACAGGACCGACCACTCCACCTGGTACAGGGCCGACCACTCCACCTAGTACAAAACCGACCACCTCACCTGGTACAGGGCTGACCACCCCACCTAGTACAAAACCGACAACCTCACCTGGTACAGGACCAACCACCCCACCTGGTACAAAACCGACCACCTCACCTGGTACAAAATCGACCACCCCAATTGGTAAGAGACTGACCACCCAATCTGTTGCCAGTGTGACAAAACTGAGGTTCCCTGTAATGGAGAGTCTACCCTACATTTACTTTTACAAAAAAGGGTTAGCTTGATGTAAATGGATCAAGTTTTGGGGTTAGGCTTACCTGTGCAAATTAATGGTAACTGGACTCTAGCATTGGGGACTCTCTGTCACGTCACACTGGGTCAACTACTGGTATTGGATATTTTCATAATAACTATACAATTTTTTTGTCAATTTTTGTCCTCTGTCTCACAGAATACCATGTACCAACTTTTTTTTAATGTGCACAATGTGATAAAGTAGACTGATGACCACTCCACCCTAAAATCAAAAGTTGATAAGACAACTATTTTTATCATTGCAGGTGGTCTCAGAGAATCCGAAGGGGAAACACCAGGTTAGTGAATGGACGAAAGCAAGTGAATTGGTCACAGATAGCATACCACATTTATCCAATGAGGGGTCATTGTTGACCTTGATTAATCAAACCTTTATATAAAGGAAATGTTGTCTTCTAGAAACAGTGTTGACCTGTATGAAGAATTATGGAAATGATCTTGGGGACTGCATCATATAAGTGAAGCATAAAATATTTGCTCCAACTTTCCTCACAATCCTTATGTAACATGATAATTGTTTTTTATTATAGGCTATAAAGTAACAACAGTGGCAACTTTTCCGCGACCATCAAACTTCTCCAATGAATGCCTACAGGCCATTGAAAGTGCTACAAATTACTGGTTCCAGCAAAATGATATCAGCATCAATATAACTCATCTTTCAAGAAGTTTCTGTAACTCATACTACACACGGGTTGTATTTGAGGGACTTACCTTTACCATGGATGAAAATAAGGTTGGCGGTTATTACTTAACAATTTTTCATATCAACAAAGTTATGTTCCAGTAATGATGCATATATGAGATTGTTTTAACTTGAAATTCCCGACTTTTGTTTAGTTTGTTACAATTCATTGCAATATCGTAAGAATAATTTGTTTGTGCTAAAAGCTGATCACAGTGATTTAATCTGAAAGTAATGCTTACACTTAGCAACGTAGGTAAGTGGAGATAACTTCTGGTACAGCCGTATTCCATTCGTATTTCAAAGGATACGAACGCATGGCAATTATTAGCACATTGAATTTCAAACCTTACGAACAAAATGATTATCTTCCAAAAATAATTAATTTAAATCATTCGTATAGATTGGAGAATTACCATATCCCCCCCCCCCTTCAAAAAAAAAAAAAAAAAAAAAGAATTTGGGATTAATTAAATAAACATTGTTTTTCATTTTATTTCATTAATAACAAATAAAAAATAAAAGATGGTTATTTAAAAAGATTTGGGTTGTTTGAAAATATACAAAATTCATGCAAAGACAATTATATATATATATACAATGACTCAAAAATTTACAAAACACACAACTTAACACTCACAATGAAGCCATTTCATCAATACTAAGAATGTGTATCTATAATTTTTCCAGATTTACCAGAAGATAAAGTTTGGTTACCACTTCTATAATATGACATTTGCAAAAGAAGTGTTGACAGCCAAAAAGGTCCGTGATTGTGGAGATAAAATCGTGGAATACTTTGAAGCAAACCCTGCTCCTTACAATACAATGGGAAATGGGAAATGCCCTGCTCTGGGTGCAACTGATGTCAGACACAATGGGACAGTGAGGTGTAGAATTGGAAAGGTGGTCAAAGAAGATGGTGGTGAAGATGGTGGAGTTTGTCTTCCAGGCGAGTGTCTTAAATCACATTTTATCACATTTAAATTGCCTACATGTATAACCAATATCCTTGACCAATCGAAGTCAGTCTTGTTCCCATAATAATCCTTTATTTCATTGGGAAACCATTAATTGTCTTTCTACTAGGTGAGATTGCCACTCAATATTTTGTTAACTTATCACCTCAGAAATTCCTTTTTTTAATTTTAGTTCCATCCAAAGTGCTAACACTCCAGTTTAATGTGACATCATCAGAAAACACATCAACACCCAAGGACTGCTGGCAGTATTATAGCAACATCATGAATCAACGATTTGTAGCTTATTCCGTCAATCTTGATGACTTGGTGAGACAGGCTTGTAACTCTGATGACTACACAATATTTGGACCTCCTGGTCTGCCAGTTGTGACTTGTCATTCTGTCACCTTAAATATGGTAAGTTACTCAGTAATTAATTAAATAATTATAATTCCATGTATTTATGGGGATTTTTTTAGTTATGATGCATATGATATATTCTTCAAATGTACAAAATAGCACATGCATATATGCCATGTTTCTAAAAGTATGCTTTTTACTTGGATAATAAGATAGCATTTTTATTTAAGGGCTCCTGTCAAGTTAGAGGTGTACTAGTCCAACATAAAGATATTCCCAGGGATAAGTACATGGAGTGTGCACGCAACTTTTCTCTGGCATTTAAAGGTGATCTTCCCCTTGGTAAATTACTGGCAGGTGAGTTATGTTGACAGCTTTGATTATCTCCCATGGGCATGTACTGTAAATAGACAATATTATCTTTAGTCAAGTTAACATGACTGCCCTTAAAAAAATTAACAGGTTAGTCACAGCTATTAAATCTCTCACATTGATATGTGGAATGGGCAATACTGATATGTTTTTTCTGTTAAATAATGTATGGAGCTGAATTTGTGCTGAAATTAGAGATGCGTACGTAGTACATGATTCCAAACATACAAAATAATCTGTCATAAGAAGTACTTACACCCATTGGTCAGTCTGCCAAGTCTTTCGTAGATTGTGGATAGACTGACACCTGCATAAGGTAATGCAAAAATAAAATGCTGTACCACAAAAGATCTCT